AATGTTTAACTAGATGACTTTGCTGCTTGATTTGTTAATTCCAGGGCTACATCTTTTTATTTTTTAAAACTCGTCTTACACACTTACTTTCTATAATTTCATGTGTTATGTTTCTAACGAGTATAAGAGACGAATTAAGAAAGAGAGAGGGAGAGAGAAAAGATAGATTTTTTCTCTTTCTTTTTCCAAGAAAAAAAAAGAGCTGTGAAAAAAAAAGAGAAAAGATAGATCTAAGAATGAGGTATGTATTATTCGGTATACAAAATTAACTTTCTTTTCCTTAGGGACTTCATGTGCAAAATATTAGAGATTTTAATTACAAATTTTAATATTTTTATCATTGTAGTAAGACTTTGAGACACGAAAGACACAAAATGTGAATCACGTATTTTGATTCGATTTAAATAATGGGAGACTTAGTCAAATTTGCTAAAATAAAATAAAGGAGTCAGATTTCTTAAATTAAGTAATTAACAAAATAATTTGAATAGTTTAATTAGATGAACAATTCAATCATTGAACTTTATAGAGTTTCTTAGTTTGTAGGGAATTAATGGGGCACAGGGAAGTGTTAAAAAATTTTAATTAATAATCGTAAGAATTGGATGATAAAGTTAGTTTTTGGTGGGAATCTGTCGCTTTTGGCACTAACACAGAAATTTCCAAATGAAAGAAGTTTCTTGGAAATGAGGCATTTGTTTTTCCGTGGGCAAGTATATTACTTTAATTGTTAGTCTTTTTCTCTCCTTTTATGCATTTTCCTAAACATTGTCCAATAGAAAAAAAATATATTATTAAAAAGAAAAAAACAACTGTTTGAAATTTGGAAGGGCTGAAATGAGGAAATTCTTGGGGAACGTACCTTTTCTTTACTCCATTTTGGTTGAAGGAAATTTGAATACAAGAACCGATAGGTTGTTGAAAAACGAGAGTCGTTGATATTCTCGAAGTAAACATAGTTCAACGGTAATTAACATATATGTCAAATCAAGAGGTTGTAAGTTCGATCTCCACCTCCATATTTATACTAAAAAAACAAGTGGAAAAAGAATTTGTAATAGATTTTAACAATCATCGCTCCTCAATAAACGAGCAAACATGAAAGTTAACAAAAAAAAACTGTCATTAATATGTTAATAATAATGGTTAAACAATTTCATAAAATGAGTTTTTGAGTTTATAATTGTTAACAACAATAGAAAATTTTGTACATCCATAAGGAAAAAAAATTTGATAACAACAGTGTATAACGGTCACAAAAATTTTATAGTGATACTTTATAAACGTAGGTCAAACAAATTTTAATAACGATAGATTATAACCAACCTGAAAAATTATGTATTGATAATTTTTAGAATTCAATAAAATTTTGATAAATCACATTTTATAGCCATCATGCACCTATTAACTCTGACATTCTTTTGTGTCACAATTGTGCTGAATGAGACATTCTCTTGTGTTACAATTGCGTTGAATGAAACTATAGTCGAGAAAAGTTTGTAGATGATGGGTTTTTTTTTTTTTTACAAAGTTAAATATATTAAACAAAAAAATGAGGATCTCACAGCCCGAAATCAAGGCACAACATCCAAAGGGCAAACACAAGACAAAAAGAAAGAAAAGTAAATTAATAAAACAAATGTCAGGCCGAGATAACCATAGGATCATAAGTCAAATAGCAGCTCCTAGGTCAGGTGGTACAACAATAATAGACCTCAGCTTTCAAGGCACGCAAGAAGGCAAAAGGCGACCGATCCACCCCACCTGCATGAACTATATCATTACTCTTCCTCTAGATAAAAGAAATAGCCAAAGTCTACGCCAAGCGTCACACACGACGACGAACAGACTTCCCAACTTTAATGTGACGAACTCAAGCAAGCTCGGGTGACCAATATGAAACCAAGTGAGAAAAACCAGCCTAAGCAATCATGTCAGACCAAACCTCACAACTAATGGGGCCCTGAGAGAATAGATGATCCCGGGACTCCATGCCAGCACAAAACACACAGGAAGCAGGAATGGAAGAGTCCCAACGACATAAGTGATCTCTCGTAGCAAGCCGATCACACATCATCAACCAAGCAATAAAAGAATGCTTTGGAATAATCTCACCAAACCAAACCAAAAAGAACTAAGGAACAGAAGGTTGGGTCGGCCGCAACACACCTCATGCACTCGACACCAAGAAGGGACCCGAGAAACCAGAATCAAAATGGGCACATCAACTCTCCCAAGAAAAACTTGCACGAATGAAATCTCAGAGACCAACTGCCCAAGGTCAACCACGAACCATTGGAAAACAAAAAATAAGCAACCTTGACCCGGGACGAGCTTGCTGTTGGGTTTTATGCCCTAAAGTTGTTATTAATGTATGTTTTAGAATTGTATGAACCCAGATTCAATAAACTAACATTCGAGGTTATGTAATGTAATTGGTTTCGTATATAACATATATACAGTATATATTTAATATACAGTATATATATTTGTTATACAGTGTATATATATACAGTATATATTCGATATACATGTATATAATGTTCTAGTAATAACCTAAAGGGGTCATTTGGTTGGGGGTTTTATTGGGTGGGAATGGGCATGGGTAAGTAAATCCCTTATTAGTTTGATGATAGATTTGAAAATTTTTCTTGGGAATAACTTATCATTAGAGGAAATACCACTTTTTATAGCTTTTTGATATAGCCTTTTCTAAAATAGGCTATCAAAAGAAAACGCGGAAATTGTTGTTTAAGATAAAAATTTGTTGCGTACACTGAAATTTCAAAATTGCCGTGAAAAAAGTAAGAGTCCTCTTGAAAAATCGATTATTACAACTAACTATAATTTGTTAGTGTAATCTAATTTGTTACTGTAATTTTGGTAGTTAGGTAGTTTGTTATTAACAAACTAATCATGACTTATATACATAGCAGTATTAACACATTGTACAACTGTATATTTTAATTATTCAATAATACAATCCTTCTCTCTATTGCCTGTATCGTGTAATATGGTATCAAGGCAAAACTCTCGCACAATTGCTTCTTCTCCGTTTAATCGCTCATGATTACAATTTTCTTTTCTTGATCAATTTTATTTGTTAATCTGTGAGAAGATAATAGTACATACATTTTCTTTTATTTTTGCTATGGCAAAGGAAACAAGTGCAGTTGGAACAGATACAGGTCATAGATTTTTCTCAACAACTTATAGAATCTCAGCTTAATCCCTATCTAATTCATCATTCACTGCACCTACCACTGTCTTGGTCATTCAACAACTGATAGGGGCAAGTAATTACAATTTCTGGCGCAGATCTATGTTCATTGCGTTTTCTGGAAAGAACAAAGTAGGTTTTGTTGATGGCACCATCAAGAAATCCGAAGGAAATCTACTTGTAGCATGGAAATGTAACAATGATATTGTGACATCATGGATTATAAATTCCGTTTCCAAAGAAATAGCCGCAAGCATCGTATACACTAGTTCTGCCAAAGACATTTGGGATGAACTCAAGGAGCGATTTCAGCAAAGCAATGGCCCACAGATCTTTCAACTTCGTAAGGAATTGGTTACCACCGTACAAGGTACGATGTCGATTGAGCTTTACTACACAAAATTGAAGACGATCTAGCAAGAACTCATGGAGTATCGACCATCACTTGACTGCCAATGTGACGGATCCAAGTCACTATTAGGGTTTCTTCGTTCAGAGTACGTCATGATCTTTCTCATGGGCCTTAACGAATCATATGCCACTGTTCGGGCTCAAATTCTCCTCATGGATCCCATTCCTCCGATAAACAAGGTATTTTCCTTACTTATTCAAGAAGAACGTCAACATAATGTTGGCACGAGTAATTTTTCTCTTGAATCCATGGCCGTGGCTGCTGCCGAAGTTTCAAACAAGAATAACACTAATCAATTTTGAAAAAGGGATAATCGTTCTTATTGCACACACTGTGGACTTCGGGGCCATGTAATAGATAAATGCTACAAATTACATGGATATCCACCTGGATACCGCAATAATTTCAGTGCTGCTCGGTCGAATACAACATATTCTAATCCTGCTGCTACAAGCATGTTTAATCAAGCTCCAGCGAAAATTTTGTTGCCCCATCCTCCTAAAATTCTCCTTCATCTAATATTCAGCCAGCATTTTTTGCTAGCTTGAGTACTAATCAGTGCTCTCAATTGATGGAGATGCTGCAATCTCATCTTACGGTATCAAAACCAGAGACTGCACCGCCAAATATGTCTCACGTTGTAGGTACATCTTTTTCGGTGTTATCTTCAATTGCTTATATTGGCTCCAATTCTTGGATAATTGATTCGGTGGCTTCTAGTCATATTTGCCATCAAAAGTCTTGTAACGCCCCCGAATATTGATAACTTACACGGGGAACATTACTAAACGTACATGCTCCAAACTTCCTCTCAAGGCGTAAAAGCCACTAAACGAACCTAGATAATCCAGCTTTTCATGTACTCAACTCAAACCTCTGAACACCTCACTTGTCAAATGAACGAAACAACTTGTCCTCCATGGACAAGCAACACCTAACTCTCCTGTTTAAGTCGAGCAAGTCAAATCAAGTAAACGACGATAGACAAACAACCTACTTGATAGAAACATAACCCTACAAGATAATAATGAACCAACTAAGCAAATAAAAACCACCACACTTCCACTGCACCACTCTGATAATAACACCAAACCCAAAACAGTTAATCCATGCTTCATTCTATCAAAGTTA